TTTTGTCTTTTTTTTCAGAAGAGGAATTTTACTTTTACCCACTTATGGTAGTATTTGCAATATGAGAACATAATTAGGTTAAATAAATCAAATAAGGAATCCAGAATAAACTGATCTTGAGTTAAGCCAAGTACACAGTGGCAATTCTGAGAAAGGAGAATACACGCTAACAAAAAGAACACACTAGATCTAATGCAAGTTTATATGGTGAGTATTTTTAAAGGATTTAAAAAGCATGCTCCATCAGCATAATAGCTTTTTCTCATTTACGTAACAGATACATTTCTGTCTGCTTGTGTACAGCAAAGGGTTAGAACCTGAATAAATTTATTTATGATTTCAGAATTTCAGAAATGTGCTATTTTAGAAATGTACTCCATAGAATTTACTTCATTGCTCCTACCACTGATTCTTCAAATAAGCAAAGTATGGAAGGTCTTATCCCTTGAAAATATTTTTAAACACTAGCACTTTAAGTTGAAACATTGGTAGAAATGTAGAAATTTTTATATATATATATATATATATATATATAAATAAATATATTACTTTAATATATAAATATATTATTTAATATATTTAATATATATATTTAATAATAAATATATATGTGTGTGTGTGTGTATATATATATATATATATACACATATATATATATTTCTAGGTACAGGAAGGTCAAATATCTCTAGTCAGACTCAACCCCAAAAAGACTACATCAAGACATATTATATAACAAAACTGTAAAAAATGAAAAAACAAAGAAAGGATCCTGAAAGCAACAAGAATAAAGAAGGAAATAACATATAAGGAACTTTCAAGATTTCTAACAGTGGATTTTATAAGAAAAACTTAACAGACCAGGAGAGAGTGAAATGATATATTCAAAGTGCTGGAAAAAAGAAACCCTGCTAACCAAGTATACTGTGCCTGGAAAAGTTATCTTTCAGAAATGAAGGAGAGATAAAGTCTTTCTAAGACAACAAAAGCTGAAAGAGTTAATTGCCAGCAGATCTGTCTTAAAGAAATGCTAAAAAAAAGTTTTTCAAGCTGGAAGGAAAGGACATTAATTGGTGATACAAAAAAATATGAAAGTTTAAAATTAACTGATAAAAATAAATCAAATTTAGAATACTCAAATACTGTATAGTGTGTAAATCATTTATATCTTTAGTGGAAAAGTTAAAAGACAAACTGTTAAAATATTAATAGCTATGATAATTTGTCAATGGATACACAGTATAAAATGTTGTGAATTGTGATATCAAAAACATAAAATGTGTACATGAAGATGGAGTAAAAGTGTTCTTTTATGTGATCAAAGTTAAGTTGTTATCAGCTCAATATAGCCTGTTATAACTATAACATGTTTTATGTAAGCTTCATGGTAACTGCAAAACAAAAACCTATAGTAGACACATCAAAGATAAAAAGTAAGGAATCAAAGTCTGTGTTAGAGAAAATCTTTTAAACTCAAAAGAAAACATCCAGAGAGGAAGAAAAATAAAAGATCTACAAAGCAACAAGGAAAAATGAATAATTAGCAGCAGTAAATCTTTATCCATCAATAATCACCTTGAAGATAAATAGATTAAATTCTGTAATCAAAAGACATAAAGTGGCTGAATGAAAAAAATAACCAAAACCAAAACCAAACCAAACCAACCATCCAACCAACCAAACAAAAACCCTCAAGATCTAACTATATGCTGCCTCCAAGAGACTCACTTCACCAGTAAGGAGACACATAGATTGAAAGTGAAAGAATGGAAAAACATCTGATGCAATTGGAAACCAAAAGAGAGCAGAGGCCACTATATTTACAGCAGATAAAATAGACTGTAAGTCAAAAACTAAAATGAGACAAAAACGTCATTATATAATGTTAAAGGCTTTCCAAGAAGTTCTTTAGGAAGATACAATAATTGCATTTGTTGTATGTGTGTGCATATATATATATATATATATATATACATATGTATATATATATATGGAAACATTGGACTTGAACTATACTTTATACCAATGGCCCAAGCAGATCATTCTGTTCAACAGCAGCAGAAGAATAATCTTTCTTATTAAGACCGCATAGAAAATTCTTCAGGATAAAACACATCCAGATTGGAAAGAAAGAAGTTAAATTGTCTCTGATTGCAGACTACATGATCCTAAATGTAGTAGACCCTAAGAAATTCCCACCAAAATTGGCATAGCTAGTAATTGATTATAGTAAAGTTGCAAGATACAAAATCAACATATAAGAAGGAGTAGTATTTTCGTTCACTGAAACAAGCTATTTCAGAAAAAGAAATTAAGAAAATCCCATTTACAATAGCTCACAAAAAATAAAATAGTTAGGAATAAACTTAGCTAAGGTGATGAAGATCTGTACACTGAAATTGTATGAAATAAAAACATTGATGAAAAAAGTTGAATAAGACAAAAATAAATGGAAATATATTCCATGTTCATGGATTGGAAGAATTCTTGTTGTTAAAGTGTTCATACCATCCCAAATGATCCACGTATTCAAGGCAATCCCTATTAAAAGTCAAAGATACTTTTCACAGAAATAGAAAAAAAAAGTCTAAAATTTGTATTGAACTATGAAACACCACAAATAGCCAAAGCAATCTTGAGTAAAAAGAACAAAACCAGAGGCATCACACTAGCCAATTTCAAAATATACTACAAAACTATAGGAAGCAGAATAGCATGGTACTGGTGAAAACAGACACACAGACCAATGGAAGAGTTTAGAGAACCTGGAACTAAATCCACAATTCTATGGTTAGCAGATCTTCAAAAAAAAAAAAAAAAGTGCCAAGAACATACAATGGGGAAATGAGAATGTCTTCAATAAATGAATACATAATACTGTGAGAACTGAATATCCACATGCAGAAGAATGAAATTGGATTCTTATCTTATAGCATCTAAAAATATCAATTAAAATGGACTAAGGAATTAAACATAAGACCTGAAACTAAAGCTGGTTTTAGTTTCCAGCAGAAAACAGTGAAAAAACTTCATGATGTTGGTCTGGGCAATTATTTTCTTGGATATAACCCTAAAAACACAGGCAACAAAACAAAGGATTACATAAAACTAAAAATCTTCTGCACAGCAAAGGAAATAATCAATAAATTAAAGAAACAACCTACAGAATATGAGAAAATACTTGCAAATCATATATATGTTAAGAGTTAATATCATACATATGTTAGGGAACTCAAGTCAATAGCAAGAAAACAAATATTCAAATTAAAGAAATTGACAAAGGACTCGAATAGATATTTCTCAAAAGAAGACATACGAGTGGCCAATAGATGTATGAAAAAATGCTCATTATCACTAATAATCATGGAAATGCAAATTAAAACCACAGTGAGACATTACTCACAACTGTCAGATGGCTACTATCAAAAAGATGAAAGATAAAAAGTGACAGCAAGAATGTGGTGAAAAGGGAACCCATGCATGCTGTTCTTGGTGAGAATGTAAATTAGTACAACCTTTCTGTAAAACAGTATGGAGGCTCCTAAAAAATTAAAAACAAAACTACTATATGATCTAGCAATCCCACTACTGAGTATTTATCCAAAGGTTATAAAATAAGTATATCAAAGAGAAATCTGCACTCTAATGCTCATTGCAGCATTATTTACAATAGCCAAGCTATGGAATCAAACTTAGTGTCCATTAACTGATGAATGGACAAAGAAAAGTATGTACACACAGTGGAATATTATTCAGCCTTAAAAAAATGGTATCCTGTCATTTGCAAAAACATGGATGAACCTGGAAGATATTATGTTAAGTAAAATAAGCCAAGCTCATGAAGATATATACACACTATCAAATTTATATGTGGAATGTAAAAAGTCAAACTCAGAGAGACAGAAAGTAAAGCAGTGATTGATTATGGGAGGCTGGTGAGAGTGGTTGGGGAGATGTTAAAGGTCATAAAATTCCACTTAGGCAAAGGGAATAATTTCAAGATATGTGTTGTATATCATGGTGACTACAGTTAAGAACCATATATTGGATCTTTGAAAATTGCTAAGAAGGTAAATTTTAACTGACCTCACCAAAAAAAAAGTGATAAGTATGTAAGGTGATGCATATGTTAATTATCTTGATTTAGCTACTCCACAATGTATATCTATGCTAAATCATCATGTTGTATGCTACAAATATGTATAATTTTTACTTGTCAATTAAAAATATATTTAATAAAAAATATATATTTTTTTTCTATTTTCCTTCACTGCAGGTACATTTTCCTTCAGATCATTGATATAATTGTTTCTTTAACCTTGTCTTATAATTCCAGTATCTAGATCATCTCAGAATTGGTCTTATTGCTACCCCTTTCCCTTGAAAATGGATCACATTTTTTTGATTCTTCATATGTCATATTATCTTAGATTTTTATTATGGCTTTTGGAATATAATGCTGCGGGGTCTCTGAATTCTATTATATTCCTTAAAATAATGTTGATTTTTTTAAAAGGAGACATTTAACTTAGTACCACTATTAAGAAATTCTGGGTTAAGTAATGATTTCTTAGATATGACACCAAAAGTCTTATTCATACATAACAAAATCAATAAATTGGATTTTAACAAAATTAAAATATTTCGTTCTTCGAAAGTCAAGCCATATTAGAGAAAATATTTGCAAATTCTATATCTAATAAAGGACTTCTATCCAAAATATATTAAGAAGATGACAATCCAATTTAAAAAAATGGATAAATTATTTATTTGTTTAGTTTTTATTTTTAATTATTAACAAATTATAGTTGTATATATTTATGGAGTACAAAGTGGTGTTATGATTTATAATACAATGTAGAATATAAATAATTTAAATAGACTAAATAACAACAGGACAAATAGCCACAAAAAGTGGCTAAGAAGCACATGAAAGATTCTAAACATCATTAGTTATTACTGAAATGCAAATTAGAACCACAGTGTGATATCATTACACACTTACTAGAAGAGCTGTAACCCAAGACTGAAAATACCTGGGTTAGTGAGGATGTGGAGCAATTGAGACCTTATACATTGTGGTTGGAAATGGAAAGCAGTTTGGCAGTTTATTAAAAAGTCAAAATGCCCTTTACCATATGACCCAGTAATTTCACACCTAGTTAGCCTCTCAGGATAAATGAAAGCTTGTTCATACAAACACTTGTATGTGACTGTTTGAACAGGTTGAACATTCATAATCCAAGAGTCTGAAATCCAAAATGTTCCAAAATTTTAACTTTTTGAATGTTGACATGATGCTTTAAGAAATACTAATTTGAGCAT